TCTTACCCAACGCTTGCACTGTATATGATTGTATATGTATCTGCATAGAAATGGTACTCATAGATACGCGATGTGTGTAGGGTCTTCTGTTCCCTGCCTGGAAGAACTCCCGGGCCCGGAACTCGGAGTTTCTAAGGCGCTCCTCGGGCCGTGCTCGCGGAAGGCAGGGAAGGGGAAGGCCCACCACCCCACCCCCCCCCCCCCTCCCCGGTTTTTTCTGCGCCCGAAGTCCGCGGGCTGCCTTCTTCTCCACCCAGGCGCGGTTCCAGCCCGGCACCTTCGAAGGAACCGGCCTCAGAAAGGCTGCCAGGAGGGGAATCAGGAAGGGGAAGTCACCTTGGGAGAGAGAGAGAGAGAGAGCTTGAGACAGTTAATGGAGAAAGCCGAGAAAAGGGACTTTGCATAGCACGATACATACGTACTGCCAGAATCAAGGGTAGAGCACAGCAGAGAGCAGAGGAGGAGAGAACCGCACCAGAACAGAGCGGAGCTTCGACGCTTTCTTCGGGCAACAGTTTCGCAGTGCACTCTCAACGAGCTCCTCGCGCAGGACGCTGGTCGGGCGTGGCAAAGCGCTGTGTCCAAGCCCGCCGACGTGGAAAGAGAAAGATCTCCTGCAATGCTATTGAACTGGAAGACCAGGACGGGTACGTCGCCGTGTCACACGAACTTGGAGGGGCGTCACCTTGCCTTCAGCAGTTTAGTCAAAGCCGCCTCTGTGATCACTACCTGGCTAAGCTCCGGCTCTGCTTCCACAACTGCAGCTTATCCCACCTGGTGGTATTTGAGGAGATTGTAGACACTCAAGCCCTGGGCAGGGAGGCCGAGACGGCTGAGATGGTAGCTGCGATTCGGGTTGGTACAAGTTGTTCTTGGTCCTTTTGTGCGGTTGCCTTTATGATGCGCTTTTGGCTTTGGGGTGCCTCTTTTCCAAGTTTTTTTTGGTGAGATGGGAGTTGAGGTGTAGAGGTTGTTGTGGTTTGGGTGCTAGCATGGTCAGAAAATCGAAATGGTCATTGCCAGCTGGTAAGGGACCCATGAAGCGACTGTGGCAGGCGGGGCTGGAACACACGGCCGCATGAGCCTGAACTGACCGACTGCCGGCCTAAAGCCAAGCTCAGAGGCTCACGCAAACCACAAAATACCAAAACAAAAAAACGATAGACCCCCCCCCCCCCCCCCCAATCGGGCCTCCACGTTCTCTCGCCGGATGGCCGGCACGTGTGCCGAGGCCCAACCTATGGAGTGTTGAGACTGAGCTCTTGCAAGCCTATAGACTTTCTAAGTGGTCGGACGGCAGTTGTCGTTCACGTCCACATGGCCTTGAAGTTGACCCCGTCAACAACGGCCAAAGCTCTGACGGCTTGCCCCTTAAGGCCTTCGTGGACCAGCAGGGCGCTGTGACACCTCCAGGAGCACGTAGAAACAGTGCCCGCATGCGGCCTGCATGTCAGGCATGCCATGCGGGGACGGCCTGCGGCCCAGCAAGCGACGGAGGTGCTGCACCTCCATGATTTCATCAATAATTTCGCCCGATACAAGCATGAACAAGCTCTTTTTCTGTAATTATATTTATCCTCAAAGCGTTGGCGAAGGGTTGATGACATGCCACGATACGCCCGCTTGCTGTCGGTTTCTTTGATACTGTCCGAACGTAGGGGCCCGGCGCCACTGTAAGAAGAAGCACCCGCTTCGCGGCGTTTCTGGAATTGCCCGACAACTGCAACTCTCTGTGTGGACCGTGTCCGCACCGTGGGGTCGGGCCCCGCGGCGGTGCTCCGCGTCTCCGGACGCGACCACTTGCCGCGTGGTATATCGCGCCATTGGGGTAGAACGATCCTCCGGACATGGGCCTCTACGAATGGTAAAGTCCCCAAGACATGGGGAATCCGTCTGCACCTTTCGGTTTATTACGAAGACGGTCCAATTCAGGGGGCCGCCTGCCGGGTGCCGATGCGGCTGTGCGGCGCTCGAGCTTCTGACTCCGCCAGTATCTATTACAGAACATGTTGGTCTTAGGCCCTGTGCCTGAAGCCGCCAGTGCTTGGGGGAACAAGCCGCCAGTTTTTGACCGCTCCAACTCACAAACGTGGTGCATGGAGCGTGTCCCGCGAGACTCGAGGAGTTCCGGGCCCTCCACTGACGCGAGTACAATCCTGGCACGGGAACGTCTGTCGAATTTCTGTCAAATTTCCAAACGTGGTGGTCGTGCACTTCAGACCTCTCCAAACTACCGTGAACGGCTGTATGGATGCATTTCTGGCCCTTGCTGGGGAGCCGCTGACCAGAGACAGAACGCGTAAAGCGACGGCTGAACCGCGTTGCGATGCCGCTTCAGATGCCGGTGCCAAGTGCCAAGATGACTCCGGTCTCTTGCAGACACGGCTCTTTTTGCGTTGCAGGACAACGGGGTGTCCCACATTCACAGGCTGCTGCTATAAGTGTGGTCTCCCCCCTGTTTTGGAAGATGAGAACATTGGTTTACGCCGTTTACGCTCTTCAGGTGGGTAGCTGCTGGGATCGATGAAGGTCTCTAAACGGATCAACGGAGAGCTGAAAGACCGATGGATGGAGAGGTGATAGGTCGATATACGGGTCCTTAGATGGATGGATGCAGAAGGTGCCAGAAGCGCAAGGTGTCTCCTTGGCCAGCTCTCTCTCGCGCTCCCCAGACGTGACCCCCCTTGTTTTCCGTCCCAGACGACGTTTGTTTTTTTCCGAAGCCCCGATATCATGGCACCCAAGTCCCGGTATTCGCAGAGGTGCCGGAGGCTAAGCGGACGTGTTCCCAGGACAGGACTCCCCGCTCCCCCTCCCCGTCCCCCCGTAAGTTTCCCACGAGGTGCTTGGTCTTGTGGCTTTGCAAGTTGAAGGAATCCACCACCTGACGGACATCGCAAAGAGCCCAGTCTCTGTGCCGCGCCGTCATTTGCCTCCATCCCCCCCTGCCTTGATGGAGTTCTGCACGAACTTCACGGAGAGCATGCACCGCACGGCCTTGGCGCTCCCCATAAAATCCCCGCGGGCCGCGGGGTTCTTGCTCGGCTCCCGGCCTGCCAAAGGACGCGGGCATTCATCTTCCTTTGACCCCAGTCGCGGGGCCGCAAGGCATGGCAATGGGATCCTTCAAACCTCCCAGAGCGCAGCAGGCGCGCGGCGGGCGATGCAGCAGGCGACGCGCGTTGTCTATCCGAGCCCCTGGCTTTCCGGGGGCCTTGCGCCGGCCCATCCGGCCCTTGCCGCTCGCCTTCTGCGAGCGCACCTTCCGGTTCGCCCCGGGCCTCGCGGGCGCCGGCAACGCGAGTCGAGAGCTGAGAGCGGCTCGGGAGTGTCGCGCGGGTCGCATCTTCATATTCCATTGCTGTCGCGTATATGTATGTATGTATATATATGTATAGAGAGAGAGAGAGAGAGAGAGACACCTTTATACATACTCGATATATATTTTCGCACACACACACACACACGCTGACACACGGCGTCACTGCTTGTCACTGCCTTCGTGCGCTTCCAGGGGCCCCCGGCCATTCCCACTTGTAGAGCTGCATCGTGTCCTGATACCCGGCCTCAGCGCTCTTTCGCGCAGCGTCACCCCCGGCGATGAATGCTCGCAGCTGCGCTTCTTAAACTGGCTATAGACTCCTAGAGACCTGCTCTGCCAAAAGGACTTGGGAGCGGCTCTTCAAGCGCCTCGTGGAATGAATTTGGGACCTCTGGGACCTCCCTTGTACAAAATTGCATTGACAACCCTCTCCGTGACGTCGTTCACGAGGAACGCGCGTCGCATCCCCCTTGCGAGTAAGCCATCTGACTCTCATCGAAAGCCTTTGCTTCGGCGCAGAGAGGGCTCTTCCCCCACGTGGCAGCTCTAGGAAGTTGCCTGCAGAAGGCTGCAGGCGGGGACGGCGCCGCCGATCCACGCTCGCTCTTGAGCTGAGCTCGCAGAGATGCGCACATGAAGATGTGTGTACTGTGTCGCGTTTCCCCCGCCCCCCCGACAGGCCCTGAAAACCAAGGAAGAGCGCAGGACGGGCTGTGGGCTTCTTGGGCTCATCGGGGCTCCAGGCCAGCTTCCTGCGGTGATACCAATAGGCCTCACAGACAGCGGAGCGGCGCGGCGGAGCGGCGCGTCGCTCCGTTTGTTCCGTGGCCTTGAAGATCAGGTCCTTTCGAATCGGCAGGCCGAAGATGCCTCGGAGACCCGGCAAGTCTCTTTCAGCGCTCTCTCCCTTTCCCCCCCCCACCCCCGGTCTTTGCTGCCCGCTGTTCGGCACCACCACAGAGCCTCACCATGAAAGAAAGCGCCGATCCAAGCCTAGAAAGACTGGCCGAAAAAAGACGCTTATTTTGTATATGTCAGCCGTAAATACATAAATAAGTAAATATATACAGATAAATATAAAAATAGATAAATAAATTAAAAAATAAATAAATAAATATATATATATACACGTATATATATATATATTGGGCCGCCAGCTTTGCATGCAGAGAATGTGGCGATTGCTGTTGCAATCCTCTGGATAGTTCAAATCAGAGCAATCCTACCGACAGTTGTTTCTACGATCCGGTTCGACTGTATGGCTGCAGGATGGGCGGCGGAAGGTACCTGGCGCCCGACAGAGCCAATGAGTGAGCTGGTGCACCATCTGAGTATGTTCGCACAGGCCACACCGGGAGTCAGTGCGTCATATGCCCATGTCAAAGGCCACTCAGGGGACCCCTGGAACGATCTAGCTGACTTTGTGGCGAAGACTGCCTCCAGCCATCAACATACCTGGCCTGCACCGCCCAATGACCTCTGTGTGGCTCTATGTCAACAGGACATTTCTTGGTTGGCACCGGAACAGGACGCTAGGGTGCACCATGCGCTTCCGTGCCTAGATGGTGCCTTAGTATGGGCTCCTCCACTTCCGGGCGGGAACCTCATCTCGCCTGAGAATCTGGTGCCGACGACCTCTGCGGAAGGGGCTGCAGCGACCGATTGCGCCACCTTTCAGGCCTGCTTCGCGACGATCAACGTCCAGAGTCTTAGCAAGAAATGCCAATATATCGAGGAGCAGCTGCATGCACGAAGCATCAATGTTGCTTGTCTGCAAGAGACCAAACTGCCGGGTGGGACCCTCACCTCCAAGCATTATCTCCGTCTGCACACTCATGCTGACTCACACTGGGGTGTTGCCGTGTGGATCCACCGAAAACTTGGCCTGTGTCGATCTGGGGACGCCGTCCTCACAGCTGATGAAAATGATGTGGCGATCCTACATGAGGACCCACGATTGATAGCCTTGCTTGTCACGATTGGTGAGGTGAGAGTCGGTATTCTCAGTGGGCATTGCCCTCATGCCCACCGTGCTGAAGAACGCGATGCATTCCTTAAGACGGTTGGGCCCCTCCTTCAGCGAGTTAAGCATGCTAACCTGGTGATAGGAGGGTTCGACCTCAATGGGAGAGTGCCCATCAGTTTCTCTGGTGTCAGTGGCAACCTTGAGTTTGGGGACCCTGATGAAGCTGGTTGGCACTTCGCCTCCCTCCTGGCAGAAGGGGGCATGTGGATCCCATCTATGTACCATTGCGGCGACTCTGCCACATATACGCATCCCAATGGCCAGCAGCACCGTATTGATTATGTCTTCCTTGGTGGTCAGGCTGTTGTTGAGAAAGCCAGGTCTGAAGTCGACGACTCCTTTGACAATGGCAGCCCGCAGGAGGACCATAAGCTCCTCACTCTCAGCCTCCAGGGGATGCTAGATGCGTCAGGCCAACATTCAAGGCTACGTAGAACTAAGTATGACCGTGACAAAATCCTCACCCAGGCCGGACGAGACAGGCTTGGGCACGTGCTAGCCAGTTTCCCGCAACCATCCTGGGAAACTGAGGTCGGGTGCGGCACAGGGCCAAACTCTGGAGGGATATACTGATTCGGGCCTTTGCCCAATGGAAGGAAGGGCAAGATTATTCCGTGTCACTGTTGCTCAGGAAACAGGGTCTGCTGTATGAGATAGCCGCCGCTGCAGTGAAGCTCTCGACAGCATTTATACGAAGTAAGATCCTTCGTGCAAAACATGCTTTCTTGCAGCAGGTTGCAGGTGAAGGCCACCATGGAGCAGCCAAAATCCTCCAGAGAGTAAAGAAGGCAGGCATGGGTGGGGCCAAAACGCGTCCGCTATCACGGCCACTGCCCATGCTCCTACACCCGGACAGTGGGATGACCATAGCAACACGCAAACAGCGCGATCAAGTCTGGATGCTCCATTTCGGCAAACAGGAGCAAGGCAGTGCCACCAACATCGATGACTTTCTGGCAGAGGCCCAATGGAGCTGCTATGATGGCAATGTCATTTGGGATGTCGGATACCTCCCATCCTACCTTGACATAGAAAAAGTGCTCCATGATATCCCGCGGAACAAGGCTGCGGGCCTTGACAATATCCCAGGAGAGGTGCTAAAAGCTGCACCTGCAGCTGCTGCACGTGCTCTGCTCCCCCTCTTTGTCAAATCGATGTTGACCCAGCACCAGCCGGTGCAGTGGAGAGGGGGTGTGCTCTTTGAGGCCTTCAAGAGATCCGGCCTACAAAGCTCGGTTGACAATTATCGCAGCCTATTTGTCTCCAGCTATGTTGCAAAAGCCTATCACCGTGTCGTTCGCAACAAAGCACAACAGTACAGCAGAGACGAAATGCACCCGTTGCACTTGGGGTCCAAGAAACTAGCGCCTGTGACCTTTGCAGCACTCTTTGTCCTTTCACATTTTCGCCGATGTCACTCCCGCCACCGCAGTGCCTCCGTTCTCTACTTAGATACATCGGCAGCCTACTATCGCATTGTCCGAGAACTCGCCGTGGGTGATATTAGGGCTGACGATACTGTGCTGCGATTGTTCCACAGGTTTGGGCTTTCTGGCGACGATGTGCAGGAGTTGCTTGAGACTGTGCAAGCAGGGGGAATGATGGCACAGGCTGGAGCTCCTGAAGCCCTGCAACAGGTCGTGAAGGACATCCACCTTCACACCTGGTTTGTCACCAGGTTCTCTGATGGCACTGAAGTATGCAGTAGCCTTGCGGGAAGCAGACCGGGTGAAAGCTGGGCCGACCTGATATATGCATACATTTATGGACGTGTGCTACACAAAGTACATGAGCATGCCCGAGCCGAGGACCTGTCTTTCAGTGTAGCCCTCGACCCTGAGGCAGGCCCCTTTGCCACGGCACCAGGTTCCCAAACCTTTTCTGTCACAGATGCCACGTGGGCGGACGAGGTCTTCCTGGAGCGCCGGGAATGGACCATGGAAGGATGAAACCACGGTCATCGCGATGATCCTCAAGGTCCTGCAGAAGCACCCCCTCTACTTTGCCGAGGAGGTGGAGATCCTTGACAAGGCGAAGGAAGATGTGGAAGCTCTCGACGATGATGATGTCGCAGACAGCTGCGTGCCTGGAACCCCGGGATTGCTTCAGCGGGTCCTAAGTGATGACAGGGCCTGGCACCGACCTGTTGAAGACCAGGCTGTCAGTGCTCGTACGGCTGACCTTTCGCTGCAATCCTTCCAGTCTGAGTGGGAGAGCCATGATTGGGCAGGGCTCTTGAAGCTTTGTAAAGACGAATGCGTTACCCCTGAGGGTGCACCTGTAATCCTGGACTTGAAGTGGGAAGCTTCGAGTGTCAAGCCCAGTGGTGCACAAGAAGTCGAAGCCGCGTTTGATGATCCCACTTGTTTTGTGCCCAGCCAAGTCCGTGCCTTGTGCAGACAAGCCCTCCAAGGGCTAGTAAAGGAGATTCAGGCACCGGCAACCTTCTGGGCGAGCCCATTTGGACTCATCTTTAAGAGTCTGCGGGCAGCTGTGCAACCATAATTAGAGCTGCGTCGACCACTGAATGCTTGGAAATGCCGAAATATATATTTTTGCGGGATTTGCGTGCGTTCAGGGGAGTTCGCAGCTTAATTAGGGCGTGCAAGTAACCGCGCGCAGGCAAACAAAGGGCTGCGCGAGCGGGTGTACCCAGAAGTCCGGGGGGGCATGGATTGCAACTGTACGTCCCTCCAGGAGGGAATGCCATGCCCGGCGGAGGCTTTCTGGTAACAAAATGCCAACGTCGTCGATGACGGCTGAGGTTCCTACCTGGCTACACTGCTGTCGCCACTCAGCTTCCCAGCGAGGCAGCAGCGAAAAAACCAAAGCAGTCTGGGTCCCGTCCTCGGTACGAAGGCCTTGGATCCTGGATTGCCAATCAAAAGAGTCCAAAAGGGATTGAAAGGCAGTCAATGAGTTCTGATAGCCCACATCGGCTACAAGCTGTTCACTGTCCTCAGACATGCTCGAGCCTGCCCTGGCAAGGGCGCAGAGCAAAGTCTGGACTACATCAGCGTCCCACGGATCACTCGGGTCGTCTGCATGTAGCTCCTGTATCTCTTTCGTGACTAGGTCACAGATCGACGATATCTCGTCCGGGTAGAGCGGGCTGCGCTGGAGCACAGTAGTGACATCTGCTGTCAGCCCCGCAACTGTGTGGTCATTGGTAGCAGAGATCAGGAGATCACAGAGCTCCTCATATGCAGATTTTTTCTCACGGCTCCAGACCGGGTCGACAGGTGAAGGGGGGATAACCCCTCGTCGGGAAGGCACAGCGAGTGTATACTCGGCGCTGTCCGTCTTTCGCTTCTACTGCCAAATCCAGGCAGAATGCATGTCGCCCATTTGCCCTGTGCCTGGAGGGAGGCTACGCAGCCCTGGCTGGCCCTCAAGTGGGCTGCAAGGCGCCCCGCAGTCCAGAAGTGAGTATGGCAAGCTTCACATACAGTTCCCTCAGCAACACGACGGTACTCTGCAACCCTACCGTGAACCTTAAAGAAGTGAACACCCAGGGCAGCTTTGTTGCAGAACGACTTGGAGCATGAGTGGCAGACCCATCGCGTGACGCGCTCAACACTGGGTTGTCGAGTCATGAGAGTACGGTAGCAGTGCCACTGGCACAATAGGCTGGCATCGCTGTGACACTGCAGGGAATGCTCTTGCTGCAAGCGCTTGCGCAACCGGCGCCGGAGGTGGGCAGGTGAACTACAGAGCAAGCGGTGCCAGTGCAACCATGCTTTCGCTTGGGTCGCCGGCCATTTGTCAGGGTCAAGTGCAACGAGCCATCGGAGGTCATCTTGCAAGACCTTACACCATTGTCCTTCCTCCTGCAGCATGGCCCACAACAAGGGAGGGCCAACGCTCGCCAACGAGAGAAGGAGACTGAAACGCGCACGGCGGGCGACCAATTCCAAGCGCCAACAGCCAGTGCACCAATGCGCAACAGGAAGCGGCAGATGAAATGCACGTTGCGCACCGACGATAGGGACAAGGAGGCGACGAATCAATTTCGAGTTTCCTGTGCTCATGGAATCCCAAGCCTTACCTTGTGGAAGCCACATACCGATATTGAAAAACGTCGGCGTGACCACAGACTCAAAGAGTGCCGACCGAGTCGTAAGGTCGAGCCTTGGGTTGCCCAGGAGCAGAGCCCTAGCCGTGTCGTATGAGCTGGCCGCCTGGGCAATTCGGAATCTGGCCTCTGGTCGCATGCTAAGCTTGGAGTCTAGCATACCTCCCAAGTGTTTGTAGCTGTCTGCGACAACCACGTGCACACCCAGTTCGGGGAGGTGGAGACTTTGCTTGCCTCCCTCAAAAAGGATTTCCGGGCCCTCTGACTACCACGGCCAGTAAGATGCAGCATAATGCTCGTCTTACCTGGCTTGAGGTTGGGCGCCATCCCGTGGCCTTCGCAAAAGCTGAGGACCAAGGTGCACAGACGCCTGGTTTTGGTGAGGAGCCGTCGCAGGAGTATCTGGACACACCGACTGGAATCCCGGAGGTGATGGCCCAGTCGAATTGAAGT